AAGGGGACTAGTACACTACTCAGAGATCCCCCTGATACATGGTTTCACTGGGGTGGGGGACTAATACACTACTCAGAGCTCATCCTTGGTTACAAGGTTTAGGCGGGGGAGGTATAAATACAAAATGTTCAGCTCACCTTGATTACAAAAGAGTCCGCCCCAACCCTCTTCACAGTTACACTGCCAGGCTTTGGAACAGGTGCCGTGGACACACCCAGGGTACCGAATACACTCTTGGCATGTGGGACCTTGCCAACCTTGGTGACATCTGTAAAAAAAAAAAAAGAACCTTATAGACTTTGCAAAAAAATAGAAAAAACCACAAAGAAATGTAAATAAAATATTTTGAAATCCTTAAAACACTTTTTATACATCAATAATTATAACAAACGGTAGTTTTGTTTATATGTTAGTCAGCACAAAAACAAAACATGCATACATACATATACAGGAACAAACAAGTCCACCAGTGAGTATCTGTGACACTTTTACGCTAGCTAAAGAGTGCTGATACTGGACAAAATGCCTCGTCAGTAACGGATATGGCAGATCTAGTTTTCTCTGCCTTCATTGACAGGTTCTTGTATTAGAACTACAACAGTAGAGTGGATTGTAAACTTATGTTGGGTTCTTGTATTAGAACTACAACAGTAGAGTGGATTGTAAACTTATGTTGGGTTCTAGTATTAGAACTACAACAGTAGAGTGGATTGTAAACTTATGTTGGGTTCTTGTATTAGAACTACAACAGTAGAGTGGATTGTAAACTTATGTTGGGTTCTTGTATTAGAACTACAACAGTAGAGTTGATTGAAAACATATGTTGGGTTCTTGTATTAGAACTACAACAGTAGAGTGGATTGTAAACTTATGTTGGGTTCTTGTATTAGAACTACAACAGTAGAGTTGATTGTAAACATATGTTGGGTTCTTGTATTAGAACTATAACAGTAGAGTGGATTGTAAACTTATGTTGGGTTCTTGTATTAGAACTACAACAGTAGAGTTGATTGTAAATATATGTTGGGTTCTTGTATTAGAACTACAACAGTAGAGTGGATTATAAACTTATGTTGGGTAAGTTTAACACTAACTTCTTCAGTAGTTGTTACTACAATAAGATATACCTTCAGTAGTTCTTACTACAATAAGATATACCTTCAGTAGTTATTACTACAATAAGATATACCTTTAGTAGTTGTTACTACAATAAGATATACCTTCTCACACATTTACCTCTAGATTTCCTTTATCAATATATCATCAAACTTAATATCATATTGAGGAAACTGACTACACTATCACTAGCGACACGACCAAAGCTGCTGATTAGAAGTGTTGTTTTTTATATTGATAATCAACTTCTACCTTCTGGAGGGTGGTCAATACACCCTAACAGGCCATTATGTACATCGTTTGGGTTTTACGGTTCACTGAGCGATAAGGTGTATAAATTAAGACTACCGTCTCGGAAAGACTATGAAGTTCTATTTCGTGCTCTAAGAATTTTCTGACGCATAAACCCCGCCAGTTACACCTCCACCCTCAACCATCAAACACACCTTCGTGAGCGTGCTTTCCCACGGCAAGAGGGAATTAAACTTACTTGCAGTCATTAGGCTGGTCGCATTTACCGTGTTGACAGCCTCCGGAACAGACAGCTAGAAAATAAAATAAGTATTGTTAGAAAACCAGCGGACTACAACCTGATCAAAAAAATTGATGTATTTTTAAGTATTGTATTAGGCCACAACATTATTAACTGATTCAAAATTCTTATCTTGCAATGACATATCTACGCGCAGTAAATCGTAAATCTTTTGTTCACTCTTTAAAAAACTAACAATGGATTTTACAAGCTATGTTAATTAAATTGTTTAGTTTTTTTTAATCTTTAGATAATACTTAATATCAAATGTTAGTAGAACGGCATTCATTACTTGGAACTACTCTAGGTTTCTCATCAGACTTCAGCTGACCCAAGCTGCATTCCCACATTCAATTATTGAATATTGCAAAAATAAAAAAATAAAATAGAAATCAATTTACAGATATGATTGTCATCGTCTTGAATGTGTTTGTGATAGAAAAAAGTTAACCCTTATTACAAATAGCTCAATCCAGGAACTAAATCTTTTACTCATGAAAAACCTGAATATAAGACGGTTATTTATCCCCCCCCCCTCCTTTAACAACAGCTTCTTGGAGCTGTAGCCATAAGGGGGCAATCTTGACTCGATAACATGTATTGTTAGACGCCGGCCATTGTGATAAGGGAAACTCGCTCTCTGGCGACAGCTGGCCCCGGGGAAGAGCAGATGTCAGGAAACTGTCCTGCCACCTAGCGGAGGTGACCTACATTACCCGAGTTGCTCGTTCCGCATGACGACCCAAGTTAAAGAAAGTGGTAAAGTTAAACAATTTATCACATTACCCAAAATCTCCCAGCCATGCATGCTGCTCGCGCACCAACGTCGAAGGAAACACGGTACGTAATTCTTTCGTTCGGGATCAGTTACAGGTTTTGGCTTACCTTCGGTACAGTATTCCCCTGTCCAGCCCGACAGACACACCTTCTCTCCCGTTAGACTGCAGTTGTAGTGGCCGAACTTGTCGTTCCTTGGACGGCAGAGCTTGGTGCACGTTTCGCCGTAGTAGGTGTCGTCACATAGAACTCTGTACGAATATCGTATTGTCGCGTGCTTTGTCTGGTGGGAATCTTGTGTCCAGTCCGGGCTAACCTCCAGTGACCGCTGAGTGGCCAGACGCGTTATCAACGTCCTGCCACCTGGACAAGTAACTCCAGTTAGTGACAGTACACGAAACACCGACATTCTTCCAAAACACAGTCACATATGAATAATATCATAATAAGCAAACACTTATATAAGTGAAACTAAAAATACCACAACTAAGTCTGTTCTAGTTACACAACATAAAAAATATATAAATAATAAACTTTATTCATGTCATAACCTTTTCGATACGAGCTGAAAGGCTGATAACTATGGCGTTTTATTGGACTAACAATTTCTACATAATATTTAACAACAGCAACAAAAAGGCCTACGTCCTTTAGTTATTACTGTCGTCGTTCATTGTAAGTCCTATCAAGTATGTCCAGGCTCATTAACACATTACAACAAAATGTATCCCGTCGTGTCAAACGCGAGAACGTAGCGTGCCACTAGATGGCGTCTTCAAGAAAGATCGACGAAGTTACTAAAGGCCCGCAGGTCTAGCATCGAAGTTTCCCACGGTCGGGGGATTACAGCCTTGAATCTCAGCAGAAGAACAGGATGGAGGAAAATACAGCCTGCCTAAGCTGCGCCAGATGGCCAGCTGACCGCTTCCGTCAACGTCGTTGGCCATTCAAGAAACGAAACACTTTACTTGATGGCGTGGGAAGATCCTCCCTACTGACCAGGGATTGACAGATAACGTTTGAGAAGAAGTCACCTTTCTAATGGCACGAAAAAACGCTGTCAGACGACAAGAGTGTCGACCTTTTACTTACCATCAAGTTTTATCGGGACGAACGGATTCCTAGGTCGTGTCATCACTTGTTCTATCTACCTATATAGCCAGTCGGTTTTCAGCACAAAAAGCAATCATACAATCCAAGTCTAGTAATTAGCATCACAAAACAAGCTGTCCAGTACTAGCCGAACTGTTGCTAAACAAACCACATAACGAGTTCATTAAAAACTATTAAAGTCAAGTATCAACAACACAAATGAAATAGTACTGGAAAGCTAACACTCCCAATGCAACAACAGCGAAGTAGTAACGACAAAGTTAATAAGATTCCCAATATAACAACAACGGAGTAGTAACGAGAACGCTAAAAACACTAATAACACAACAACAGCGGAGTAGTAACGGCAACACTAATAACAGCAATACAAGAACACTAAAGTAGTAACAACAACAGCAGAGTAGACAACGCTAATAACACTAACAATACAACAACAGCGAAGTAGTAACAATAACGCTAGTAACATTCCCAATAGATCAACACCAATAACACCCCAATACAACAATAGCAAACTATTAAAGACAACGCTAATAACACTAACAATACAACAATCGTGGAGTAGTAACGACAACACTAATAACACTTATAATACAACAACGAAGTAGTAACGACAACGCTAATAACACTAACAATACAACAATCGCGGAGTAGTAACGACAACACTAATAACACTTACAATACAACAGCGAAGTAGTAACGACAATACTAATTACACTAACAATACAACTGCGAAATAGTAACGATAACGCTAATAACACTAACTATACAAGAGCAAAGTAGTAACAAGAATGCTAATAACACAATATATCAACAGCGAAGTAGTAACGAGAACGCTAATAACACGATATAACAACAGCAAAGCAGTAACGATAATGCCAGTAATATTCCCAATACATCAACACCAATAACACTCTACTACAACAATAGCAAAGTAGTAGCGACAACGCTAATAACACCCACATAAAACAGCGAAGTAGTAACGACAACACTAATAACACTAAGAAAGCAACAACAATAAAGTAGTAGCGACAAAGTTAATAACACAATACAACAACAGCAGAGTAGTAACGACATCGCAAATAGCAACACTAGCAATACAACAACAGTGAAGTAGTAACGACAACACTAATAACAACACTAACAATACAACAGCAGAGTAGTAACTACATCGTTAATAACAACACTAACAATACAACAACAGTGAAGTAGTAACTACAACGCTAATAACCCTAACAATACAATAGCAGAGTAGTAACTACAACGCTAATAACCCTAACAATACAATAAGAGTAAAGTAGTAACTACGACGCTAATAACACTAACAATACAACAAGAGTAAAGTAGTAACGACAACATTAATAACACTAACAATACAACAATAGTAAAGTAGTAACGACAACACTAATAACCCCCGCATAACGACAACCTAATAACACTCCTAATACAACAACAGCGGAGTAGTAACGACAAAACCAATACCACTACGAAATATACCAATGAGAATATAACAACAGTGACGTGTTGAAGACAATACAAATAATACCAAGAAAGGTAAAAAGCACAATTTAAACATTAGTGAACCACCACGAACAATAGCTGTAATATAACACGTACAAAAACAGTGTTGAAAATCACCAAGAATACCCTAAAAACACGTGCATATTCAAATTAAAAAAAAGAAAAATGACAAAAGTCATTGTGAGCTGAATATTATTGAATCTTTTCTGTTTCATGCAGCGCATTCAAATAGAAAAGTTTGGTTTGGTTTTTGAATTTCGCGTAAAGCTACGTTAGGGCTATCTACGCTAGCCGTCTCTAATTTAGCAGTGAAAGACTAGAGGGAAGGCAGCTAGTCCTCACCGCCTACTCTTCAGCTACGAATAGTGGGATTAACCGTAACTTATAATGCCCCCACGGCTGAAAGGGCGAACATGTTTGGTGGGATGGGGATTCGAAACCGCGACCCTCAGATTGCGGATCGAGCGCCCTAATCACCTGGGCATGCCGGGAAATATAGTTTTAATGTAGTTTTTAATGCTGATTTCAGAAATATAAATCAAAATTTGGAGAAATGAAAAGAAATATTTTTATAATTTTTTGTATTTTGCTTACGAAACAAAGGAAGTGCTTTTTAGCATTATATATATATATACATTTAAAATAACTGGAAAACATCAAGTATCTAGTGACGATGTAACAAATTCAATGTGAAAATATTCTTAAACATTTGCTTGAAGAGATCATTTTCATGCCTACAAACCCCCCAATGGCACAGCGGTATGTCTGCGGACTTACAACGCTAGAAACCGTGTTTCGATACCCGTGGTGGATAGAGCACAGATAGCCCATTGTGTAGCTTTGTGCTTAACTTGAAACAAACAATCATGCCTACAACGCCAAACGAACTTGTTAACCACATTCCAAGTACTTTCAATTTGGAGAATTGATTTTTACATTGTGTAGCTTTGTGCTTAACTTGAAACAACCAATCATGTCTACAACGCCAAACGTACTTGTTAACCACATTCCAAGTACTTACAATTTGGAGAATTGATTTTTAAAGTGGAACAAACGAGAAGATATTTCCATTTTTTAAGAATCTGTTAAATGAAATTTTTTTTCATTTACATAAACATGTACTTATTTACTAATTAGTCTAACTTCGTGAAACCTCACATAAACTGACGTAACCTAGCAAATAAAAACAAAATATATATAAACATTTCTTTTCATTTTTCAAAATTTTAATTTATACTTCTGAAATCAGCATTAAAAAATTCATATTCTTTTCTATTTGAAAGTGGTGCAAGAAACAGGAAAGATCCATATTATTATTATTATAAATCACAGCCTACAGAAAATACACACAATAACGGCCGAGTTCATTGCACTTACGATGAATCAAGGTATTCTAATCTTTACAAGTTTTTTTATGGCACAGCAGTTAGCTAAACCACTAGATTAAATTACCAATTATTGAGTTAATTTGCAGCTTTGATTACATAGGTAGTTTGATCAGAAGTAAATGCTTTAACTCACCTACTTCAGCCGAGTTATCGTGCCAAGCCTCTATGATGAGAGAAAAGGTCCCCTGTTGAAGAAATAAAAGTTTCTTTTATAAATGATTTGGGCAAAGTATGGTGAAATGAGGAGTACTTGTCTGGTTTTACCATGATCTAGGTAGATGTTGCCCGCTTCAAATGTTTATTCGAGAAAAGTTTGATACTTCAGGTTATAAACAACTTCTACCTCCAATGTCCAATTAAAAATATTGGTTTTTGAAAACTATTACTGATATGTTTATAATGATCTGTAACTACTTTTAGATAAACAATAAAGTAAAGCCTTTATTTTTGAAAATTATTGATATCGATAAGAGTTTACTGTTTGTTTTTTTTTTTGGTAAATATATGTTAATTATTTGATAGTCGAACCCTTCTCAGCAAATTGCCCTAAATAACGTTTACATGTAATTAAGAATCTTGCTGATCAATCATGAGCAGTCTCTCTGCTCCACTGATTCCAATTGTACAAAAAAACTTGAGAAACGAACAACTAATTTAATAAGCAACTTTCGGCAGGGTAGAGTAGTGAGCTTGTAATAAACATATAATAGATGGCGCCACAAGTCAAGCTACACAACCTTCCAATAATAGATGACTGTCAACTGATGGCCGTAGTGTTAAGAGGAAACATGATCAACTAACATTCCAAAGTTTCTCTCACAATGAACCCTATTAAAATATTAAATTTAAATGAAGAGGTTCTATGTACAATATAGCCTACAAAATTACTGATTCAAATGTAAACACTGTCCGAATAAAAGTGAAGAAACACCAAAAAACTGTTGTAGCACTCCAGATGCTAAATAATTTAAAATATGTACCTCGCACAAACACGAATACGTTAAAAACATATAGGCCTAACTAAGTCTCAGCCTAACACAAACAGTCAGTTAAGCATTATAACGCCGAATTCACAAACACTTATACAAAAAATAACAACAAACAAACTATAAAGTTAAGCTTATCATCCCAGCTATTTAATAAACATTTTTGATGGCTACTTTTTAAATATATATGTTGTAATCGAATGTTTCCGATAAAAAAATAGCTTGGTATTGGATAAACGTATTTGAAATTTTCAAATTCTAACACTGCTAGATTGTTCATGTAAATCATTACCACATTTGATAACTCATTGTTTAATTTTTTAGACAAAACGTAATAAGATAAAAAAAAAACAACAAATTAAAAAAAACAAACTACACCTACTTACCGGCCAAGAAAAATCGAACGAAAATCGAATAGGGTTAGTAAATCCTGACATCTTTTTATCCAATAAATACGCAGAATTGTTGCCAAGTACAGGGGTTATGACCTCTCCAAATGTACATGGGGGATTAGGGTCAATTATTGCCTGATAGTGTGTTAAACACACACGGAAAGAAGTTCGACAGACACTGCTGCACGACCCGTGTTCAGAACGATACCCACTACAACAGTTTCCCTCAAAATCTCGTCCGTAGTCGTTGTTGAAAGAATCAAGCCGAAGTTCAAAAACTTCAGAGCCAAAAGTCTGGAAAGAGAGGTAAAAAAAGGAGTTTGAGTCATTGTGCGTTAACCGAGAGGGCCGTGACCCCAATAAATATCATCTAAAACTATCGGTTCCCACGGCACCAGTTTGGTCTACATACTAACTAAACATGTTGACATTTGGAACAGTTGAAATGAGCACTAGTATAGCAACATTCATAACTAAATAAAGACAACTTCAATGTTTTTGTTTTTTTTAATGAAATAAATTAATCTAAGAATATGCTATCAGTCTAGAGTTAGTGAAACTGTCCTGCTTGGATGAAGATTCACTCACCTGGGATACTACGGTAAAGACCAGTAAGGCGGTAAGGACCAGGGTCGATACAAATCGCCTCCCCATAGCGCCAGTATGCCTTTCCGTCGTACTCTGTCGAAAGACGCTGAATCTAAACCGATGTCAGCCTCGTTTTCAAGAAACCTACGCTCCGCCTATCGTTGTGATTGACAGCACTCTGAAACAACACAGGCACAATCTGAGTTTAGATAGGCAATGCAAAAACACCTGTATTTCACACACAATATCCACACTTTCGGTATCCCAATGAAACACAACCCATCGCCACTTCTGAATGATTTCTCACTCCACAGATTTTGAGGATAAAGCAAGCTTTACACCAAGCTTCTAGTATATTTATACTGATGCCGGTTTCACGATACATACATATAATATATTCATCTATATATATATACTCAGGTCGGTATCAACGTAGACTAGTATAATACTTAAATACGCGCGCTAGGAGCGTTCCAGGCGATACATCACAGCTCGAGAGGCACCGACTAGTATTCACAGAACAACGAAGTGATACTGGTAGAGTAGCGCGTGGCACGAGGGTTATATAGGAGGGGAGGGGAGACAGAGGCTGAATATATCACGGGCTAGCATAATAAGGACCTATTGAGGCGCTCCACCGGCCTGGTCTTTTCCATGCTTGAGTGATATCAGCACTAACGGCTGTCTAAGCAAAATATCGTCCGCGGTTCGTGCAGATAGAACACTGGCAGCGATAGACTAAGCTGCATGATTTTATTTTTGTAATCTTGTCGTTGAAACGACAAGAAAATATTGCTCTAAATATACAAAAAATGTACGTTACACCAATGCAATTAATAAAAAGACGTACAACACACTTTCATATTATTTAATATTAAATATCCTTTACTTTTCACGGTCTCCGATTTTCAACTGGAGCACAAAACAACAAATTATTCTAAAAGTTGCCCAATAGGTGGCTAAAAAAGCGAAGATTCATAAAAATCTTATAATAAAGTCTAACCATTGAGCCACTGATGAAGGAAGGTGGGGAAATAACAGTATAATCAGTTTATTATACAAAAGAGAGTAAAAGCCAAATCAAAGTAAGAACGTTGTACGTTCAACAGACACTTTGAAGGTAAATATACCTACGATATTTTCCATTGATATTACACATTTTTTTTGTGATAAGATAATTTTATACCATGCTTACCGCAGCTAATAAAATCAAAATAAAGCTCTTTATTTCTTGTCGAATTTTCAGAAATCGAGTTGGATACATCACTAAACAGCCAAATATAAGTTATTAGAATTTACTTGAATGGAAGATATTATGTTTGTACAGAAATGCCATGATTAGCTTCTCTTTTTTTCTTTGGCCACTAATGCTGCTCGTGATTTATGTCTCATATATACATTTTCATCCTTAAAAAAGCAAAACAAAATTCCTTTAAAATGTATATTCGTAATGAGTTTCATGAAATGACCTACTGTGAAGTTGGTCAAGTTTTATCCGCTTCTTTTTTCTTTTTGCTGAACTATGGCAATGTTTTTAAGCCTAATGTTTATTTAATTTGTAAATTAGTCTAAATTTTTTTGTTTTATTTTTTCGCAGAGTATTAGACCGAGGTTTTGGTTTACCCACACAGCTGCTAATAAAAAAATAAATCACATAACTTACGAAGAAACTTTCACACACTGGTGGCTGCTTCTCCACAAATTCAGGTATGGTCATATTTCTAAAGTATTAACCCATTTAACTGATTCTCAAGTGGACACAGTTTGTATTTCCTGGGTCTTTGTTTACACTTCAAACGTTTATAGCTGTATTTGAATAAACAGTATAAACTGATAAAACACACACCCATGTTAGGCTATTATAAAGTATATAACTGAAGCACCTCGTGGGCTGCACGGGGGGGGGGGGGTAAGTATTGAGTCACACCTGCCAACGAATTTATCACACATGGAAACTTTTATCGAACACACATTTTATGCTCGATTTTATAATTAAACTTTATCTCCTTCCGAAATGTTTTGAAATTTTGTTGAAACTGAAATTTCTAAAGCTCATTTAAAAAAATTAGTGTATAAAAGTTTTGGTTAAGAACAAAGCAACACAATGAGTTATCTATGCTGTGTCCACCACAGGCATCGAAACCCGGTTATACGCCTTTAGGCTTACCGCTGAATCACTGTATAACAGAACATAAGACAGCTAGAAATCAAAGAAATGTGGTTTTTCTAATGTTTGAAATTAAGCACCTCTTAGGCTTAGGAAGTTTGATATGAGTTAAAGTCTTATTTCTTTTCACAATCTGTCAGGATGACAAAATATGCTTTGTTAGTGTATTTACTTTTATTAAAATGACCACTGCCTCTAGATCAAAGAGATATTGACGTCATATGAAACAAAAGTTTGTCATAATTTAAGTCAATCTTTCTTTCATTACTTTATTCTTAATTGTTTCATAATGTCACGATCTAATCAATGGACATTTTGTTCCTTGACACTGAAATGTCCAATGGTTAAAAATACTCCCCTCCAAAGTTCCTGTCGCAGACAAAACGTCGAGACATCACGCAACTCATATCAAGCAAAACGAGGAAACTTATATAGTTAACGCGAATCCAGCCGTCTCCACCAATCAACGAAGAGCTCTAATTCAATGTAACAAGTAGCCGCGTAGGTCTGATAAACCTACAAACAACTTTAGGTGTATATGCAGCACCTAATTATAAACTTAGCAAAAAATAATAATAATCTGGCTACCATATTTTCACGTCAATATGTTGCTTCACTTGCGACATCTACCGGAGAAAATATAACATTCTTCAGATCACCTTTTTTTTTTTGGTTGGAACGAAACTCGAACCTCTCTGCTAAGATCACCTAGTTTTCTTACTCTTTTAAGGACACCAGCCTAATCCCCTAAACATCTCCTGTTTTAATCGTCTCAGGGTTTAGAAATTAGCCGTAATCATTAGGGGCTTGCTGGCACGCGGTGAGTGAAGGAAGACAAGCGTACATAAGTACATAGCGTACCTTCACACTTTGTGTATGTCAGAATTTAAGCAGGACACAGTTTAATCTTGGGTGATTTATTTCAATTATTTTAAAGCTGGTAAAGATTAATTTATCACGTGAAGATTTATCCTTGTCACTTAAAAAATAAAAAGTTCTACTGTGTTCTATCGCACGCGTTTAGCAAACAAACTATCGTTTATTATGTTATTACCAAATTGATTTTTCACGATAAAAATGCTCTAAAAAGTTATACACGATATACATTAAAATATTATATGTTACTACTTATAATTTTAATAATACTCAGAAAATCAGTTACCGCACAGCAACACTAAACACGCACTGACCGAGTGTAGCCTAGTAGTTAGCGGTCCCTTTATAGCAAAACAACACGCTCCAAACGTTTGGGCCACACTTTACAACGACGGTCAGACAGAAAATTCCGAAACACACTTATTAGTAATTAAACATCAATTTACAGTTGTTACGTTGTTTATCATGTATTCCGTTCTTTGCTGATGAGAAGTGAAAACAGCACAACCATCTAAGTTTTCGGTTTATATATAACCATGGGTGCCCACAGAAATATTTTCGGGGGAGGAGGAAAAAACATGGATGTAGGGGATCAGCTTTTACAGTGTAAGTCAACAGACTAAAAGAATGTGTGCTTAAACGCAAACATAAATTTACAGTTTTAATAAAGAATACTAAAAATATTTAGTTTAACTATGATATTAAGTTTACATCCTAATATGCGCAATTTTTTGTGAAATTTAAGGGGGGCAAATGCCTCCTCTTGCTCCTTTCTGCGGGCGACCATGTATATAACATTCTTCAACATCTAGTGACATTATCTTCTGAAAAGTCAAGTTCACGTGGCAGAATGACCAATAACCACCTCGCGTAACCAACCGAGGTGACCAATGTCCACCACATGATATAGTTACACTTAAATAATTTTATGACCACTGACTTTTACTAACATACATATCTTCCCATTTTTTTATTTACTTTACTTTTCTGGTTGTGCTAAGGTTTATTCTATTTGTCTTGACACAGATCAAGGGTCGCACCTTTGTGTCTATTCAAAAGCACAACCAAAAGAAATTTAATACCGGAAACAACATGTGGTCTACAGTACTTTACACGCATCAACTATGTTAGTATACAGAGGTCTTCTTTACTGCAAAATACGTAAACATTACCAGATTCCTCTGCTTTTGTCTTCATACGTCTTATGGAAATGTCAGTTTGACTTTTTTGTTCGTAATCTAGTCAAATATCATTTATTTTTAAATTTTACACAAACTGCTGAGAGAGTATGATGTAAAATTTCAAAAAGGTCTGGTGTCGTTTTTTATCAGATTTTCTCAACAAAGGCCAGATATAGAAAGACTGCTATAAATCTAAATATAATATTATTTAGCTATTTCTCTAATATATATAAATGCCACTTCGTTAAGTTCAATAACAAACAATTTATAATTAAATTATCATATTCCATGTATCACTAAGTGGATTCCTTGATCGAAACATGATGGTGGCGCCCTCAGTTGGTAGCTTGCTCTAATAAAAAAATTTAACATGTAATTTACGTTAAGAAAATGGTGGAAATCAAAGATTTCCTGGTTCAAATGTAAGTATATTTATCTAATCTGCATTTGACTTTGATTGAAATTCTGTTCATTATGGATGTAAATGCCTTAAAACATGCAAGTATTTTAACAACAATATTACGTCTGTACTTAGATTTTACGGCTTAATAACTTATAACTAATTTAGAGTAGAAAAATGAGAGTAAGGAAACCAGCTTGGCTTAAAATACTTTTTGAAAGAAATTTTAATATGAACTTGTCTAAAAAGTTAACGGCATTTCTTCGTTATACACATAAACGCATCTTTTGTATACCAGCAACTCGTAATGGATTCTCATAAGCTTTTAAAAAATGGGAATAGTAGATATAGAATACAATTCTAGATCAAATATATGTCTCAAAATGCTCATCGGTGGTCAGAAAAAAAAAACTGTTTTCACTACAAAAGGAACTATCATTATTGAGAACAAAGCAGCCGATATGTCAAGTGACAATACGCCTAAGTTCCTTTGTCAGCGTACTCATACGACTAAGTATGGTTATTGCTAACATTCGCTTTGTGAAAGATTACTGAAGCTTTAACTTTACCTTCCTGTTTACGGTCTTAGCCTGCGTCTACGAATACATAAACCAACATGCTAGTTTCTTCTTACTCTTTCAAGGAAGATAGAGGACTCTCCAAAAAACGTAACATCAGACAAAATAAAACATTTTTCGTGTTTTTATTTCTTCGGCATGTCCATGTCCAGGGTTATTAATGAAGTGGTGGAAACTCTCTGGAATTGATCTAATTCAATGACAAATGGCGAATCCAAAAATAGATTGTGTTTCACTTTTTTGTTTTCTTTCGTCAAAATTTGCAAGTTTGGTGTTGACAGAAAGTAAACACTATCTTGTAAGTTATTAGCATTAATATTACATATTCTATAACAACCCACATAAATACACGTTATCTGTTGTGAGTAAAGGCCAACCCATACGCCATACACGTTCTGATTAATATAATAAGCTTTTTAGATTTTTTTCCCCTTTAAAGACAAAAATAATCTTTTCTCTAAGAACAGAGTTGGGAGGAACAATTCATCTATATATTTCCAAGAAATGTGGCAAAAACACAAGTTTTTTTTACATACTGGAGTCAGCGAACAGTGTAGGTAAGTTTTTCCAGAGCACACATAGCTTTATATCAAACGAAAAACAAATAGAAAATACAAAGTTTCCCTGAACATGTCGCTCCTCCTAGCGACAATATTACGAGGTGGAGGATTTCGTGATATAAATAGAAACACGAATACAAATTTGCCCCGCCTAACGACAATATTTCGAAGCAAAGATTGTATAGAATACACTCAGATTGTACTTGAACTAGGAAAACAACCGTATTGAAGTTATCTACACCATGATGTTAGCTACCATCATTATTTGATTGGCATGGTAAGAGTGTAGCCTGTTTACGACAAAATATTTATTCAATGACAATAATAAACGTTTAAACAACTAATCAAATAAGCTGGAGTAAAAGTCTGTTTTCTGTATGCGCACACAATATATTTTTTCTTAAAATATCTGAGTGTTGGATTTCTGGTACAAGAAAAAACATCTATAATTTGAGTTTAGGGTTAGGCCCATTGTTATACAGAATCATAACATGTCAATATCTACACTATTGAGCGTCCTCTGCATTTGATTTTTGGTATTACAAAAAACCTAGCCCTCTTGCGTTTTTCATGTGCCCAGAATAATATGAGAGAGAGAGAGAAAATAAGAATGTAATGGAAACGATATCTGATAATAATATTAATAAAATGGCCTATTATCTGTCTACATACTTCATTAATAAAGGTTACGTCACAGCATTACAAAGCCTTGAACACGACACGTATAAATAGCGGACGTGTTCCTTAAATCAGGTTTATACGTCTAGTAACAAATTACATTGTGTTATCTTTTCTCCCAGCTTTGAGACAACGCTGAAATGTTGTAATACAAGATTCCAGTAAATCGTTACTTCGGAAACTACGCGTTAAGCCTTCGCACGATGTTTGTAATAAATATTGTTCTGTTAAATTTGTATCATAATATACCATAGGAAAACCACAGCCACAATGCTGGGGCCGAGGGACATGAGCGTAATCCTATATGCTGAAAATATGTATGCCATTTTTTCATAGGACATGCTGTGAATTAATATCCCCAATAGATTGCTTAGATTTTCAGTTCAATTATTATAACAGAAAGTAATATATATTCACTTTTATTTCTATTTTAATGAATTCCATATAACAAAACCTATGATTGCAACATGAAATCAAAACAAAACGTTGATCACTGTGCGAGTCATATAATTTCATGTACATTGTAGCAGGGGGTCTCACCATTAATTCTTGCACCCGGGCACCCTGTACTCTAGGACCGGCCCTGGTTACACACCATAGCCTGAGAGCTAAGAATAGGGTGTCCATAAGTTATCTAACCCATTTTAAAATATATTAAATATCATAATTTGATATAATAGATAATAGATAGAACACTTCGGTTTTATTTATCTTGATAAACAACTCCCAAAGTTCTTATTCCTCCTTTTTGTTGCAGATCCGTCGTAAAAGCACTGATTGCTAGAAAAGAGAAAAAGTGAAAAAAAGAAATGGCAACACTCCAGGAAAAGGCTTAGTGTTTACTGAATCCAAATCAATCATGCAAGTGCAGCGAAATTACCGATGTATTTATAAAAAAGATCCACCAACTAAGAACAGCATTAAGGTTTGGTTTGAAAAATTTCTAGCAACTGGTAGTGTGTTAGAACAAAAGGGAACAGGACGTCCAATTGTATCTGATGCAACAGACGAAAGTGGGCACCTGTGGAAGTATACTAAAACAAAACAGTAAAAAACTGTATGAGTTTTTCATCAAGGTAAATAAAACCGGAGTGTTCTATCTATAATATTTTTGAAGTTATTAACTTAATTTTTTAAAATATGTCAGATAATTTATGGACACTGTATTTTTAATGCAATTTAAATATTAGTTAGAGGGAGCTGCGGTTTTTAATGGTAAGGTTTAGATCAAAAGGTTTAATAAGATAGGCCTAGGACAGTTAACTCCCAAAAGGTTCTGAGAATGTGAGGTAAAGTTTTTAGTATATTTGAAAGTATATTATATATACGAAAACGCTAAGAGAACGTAATATGATTTAAAGGTAGAGAGTGAAACAGTCAGTGTGTGTTACATATCACGGTTAATTTGTACAACTAAGTCGATTTGTTTACGGCACTATAAGTGTTCAAGTTTGTAGAACTAGAAGTGTTAATTAAGGGAGGAAATAAATTAATTTAGTAACTTTAGCTGGACAGGACGTAAAATTATTTTCACCAGTTTAGTTAACAGAACACGCAAACGAAAAACTACGCTACTAGTATTACACTGCTTTAACCCTTTTGAAAATCAGGCTATTAATGTAAAATGTTACCCTAAACTTAAATAGATAACAATACACTAATATTGTTTCAAACCAGAATGAAAAGGCTGCAGCTATAGCACGTACACATTTGTTATTTGAAAGTTGAATAAGTAAACAGAGCTTCATGTGGGTTCTGCAAATAGTTTAAAATTGTTTCTTAAAAAAAAAAAACATGTAACGTAAAAATCACATTCAGTGTGAACAAATCTTTGCTGCTCTAACAACGCAAGCAAGGAGTGTGTTCCACTATGAGGTGCTACATACACTGGTTATTTGTGTGTGTTATGCCACTCGGCACAAATACCGTATTTTTCGGAATATAAGACGCACCCTTATTTTGAAGCCAAAGTTTTGGGGGAAAAAAAGCTACAGTCGCATTTGAAAGATTTTTATTGAACAAAAATTCAGTTTGATACTTTAAGAATTAGTATATATTGTTCTAAACACAAAAGAGCTCAAAACATCAAAATAAGAAAATACCGTAAATAAAAAAAAAGGGTTTATTGTTGTTTAGTTT